GGGGGGGGGGCGGGGTCAAAAGTTATCACCCTAAGGAGAGCCACAATCAAGAGACCCACCAACTTGTACCTCGACTGAATTTAAGAAGAGGGTAAAGTTAGGAGTTCCACAAACGAAGATACTGAACTAAAAAAGTCTTCAATGATGTTGAGGCCTTCTCTAGATAAGGAAAACTTCTCGTTTAAAATCAGTTCGAGTCCCACTTGATCTTAACTGGCTTAAAGAGAAGCGACATTATGCGGCGTAACTGTATGATAATGACGTACTTTCATTCCTTTTTCATCTTAACAGGAGCAAAGTGGAAATATGGGGAAACAGACAGTCACGGTACAGACAACAGGGTATCTGTAGTGTAAGAAACTTTGAAAAATTACAGCGGTGAATAATTGTTACTATCCAAATTCTGATTAGCGACAAGTGGGAAGCTAATTCTTATTGGCATTACGTCATATCTATATGCAGTAGCTTTTGAGCATGCGCAAAACCTCAATTATCTGAATAAACCAGCATATGGTAAGTGAACTGTTAATCTTTATCGTAATTGGTCTGAAAAATCTACGAGTGCTTATTATTCCAAATATTACGATTTCCTGATAATGCTTATCCCATTTCAACTTTTCTACTTTGCTCGAGATGAACTGACGTGTTCTCAGCCAATGAACGTGCTGGATTCTTGCGGGTATATTGCTAATTTCTTACCCAAATCCTACCTTGCGATTGTTACTTAAATGTAACCGCTTGGCAGTGGAAGGTCTGGGATACAAACAAACGAAAACGTAATCTTCAGTTTTTGCTCGAAAATTCTGTTTGATGTAATCCTTCATTTCCCCGCTATCGTTGATATTCCTTACAGGTTATGGTCCACCTGACTGGGGAAAAGTTTCAAAATACTGCGACTTCACCGCCCAGTCCCCCATAGATATCGAAACTGCTTCGATTAAGAAAGATGCAAATCTCAAGGAACTTCGATTCACAGCCGATAACGAAAATGGAAAGGTCAGCGGAGTTATAAAAAACAATGGTCATGCACCAACCCTAGCTATTAACAAGCTCAAAGGCAAGGCTAGTCTCACCGGGGGTCCCCTTGGAGATAGCGTGTATATGCTCCAGCAGTTCCACTTTCATTTTGGTTGCGACGAAAGTGAGGGATCAGAACACCTTGTGAACGGAAAGGCATATCCTGGAGAGGTACGCAATAATAGCTCTCAAAACTCTTTATTATTATTTTTTTTTTCTTTTTTTTTTTTCATACGACCACAAACTAAACAGCATCCGTGACAAATTAGTCCCCTGCCATACGTGCTTGGAGACTGGTCTGAAATTTTCATTTCCCCTTTACTGCAATACAATTGAGTCTCGTTAACCAAGATGACATTTACCAAACAAGACACCTCGTACCCAAATCCCACAGTTTAATGCTTAGCCGTGGGAGGTGGGAGACTAGGAAATAGCACTGGCTATGAAGCAAACTGCGTTAAGCGTGGAAAAGCAAGTGGTTATTCATGGCGTATGGCTCTAGTTTGGCATCTGATTGGCAGATCAGAGACAAACTATGTCCAAGATTGTACTTCATGTATAACGTTTTGAATTTATCTTCTTGTAGCTCCATTTGGTGACTTATAATACGAAGTATTCTGATTTTGATACCGCTGCGTCCCGATCCGATGGACTGGCTGTGATTGGCGTTTTCTTTGAGGTGTGAATGGAAATATTAAATTTTTTTTTTTAAGATTAGCTTTGCCTGACAATTTACTACAGAGGGATTTGGGAAAACAGAACAAAGTAACAACTCTAAAAATTAAAATCAACAAGCTGCAAGAGGTAATCAGTCCTAGTTGAGGTAGAGGAGTGAAGTTTAATTTCATCGCAATCGAGGAAAGGGAAAAATTCAGTGATTGAATAAACCATATACATCAACAGTTTTTTCCGGCTAAACTTGAGAAGACTAAATTAGCGAGATCATCTTTATAACTGTAAAAAATGCCCTGTACAGTTGTAAGGGATTTATTCTACCTCCACAACAAGCATTATAGTTGGCAATGCTCGACATCGGCTCACTCGTTGTGCTTCATACTGAACATTATGCAAAAGCCAGCAAAGAGAGCCGGTCAGATTTTATTTTTCTTGTAGCTGACATTAACAAATTCGTGCTTTGATCATCTGATTGGCCTCCAGCATACAATAGTTAAGGAGCTAACACTAAATGTTGGCTTGGGAATTGGAGTGTATTGCTTTAAACAGAAGGATCCCTTGTCAGTTAAAAACTTCTAAGACGATGCGACCTTTAATGTGAAAGCATGCTACCCATTTCAGAAAAAGAAAAAAGGAGAAAAAGGGCAAGGAAAGAAGCAGTATAAAGCCGTCCGAAAGCTTCACTCAGCTTTGAGAAAACTAGAGAACGTTGGTAAGGCCTTAGAGTCTCATATCATTGTAATGAATTATAATAAAAGTTCAAACATCTGTTCGTCTCACGCCACAGATTCCTTATCAGTTCAAGGGTCAAGCTATATATCATAGAGGGAGACGTTTTGACTGCTCTTCTGTCAGTCTTCGTCACGTGATTAGGCTCAATGATTGTGCGCTGCTATTTTAGCTGCGTGATCTCATTGGTGCATTTCGATCCTCGTGGCATTTCGCAGGTGTTGGATTGTCAAGATTTCATTGCACACTACCTGTGTGGGTAACGTGCAAGGAATAAAAAAATGTTTTTAATTTAAACTTTAAATTCCAATGAAAGATAACAACGTCATATACGAATCATAACTTGAACACGAAGATCATTAACACGACGATGTATTTTGAGAATATCCCTCTCCCGTCGCGGAACGATCATGTCCGCACAACTCAGCTAACTGACTCCTTCACTCCCAAGAGATTTTCAAGCAGAAGTTGCATAAGAAGTAAGACAATATCAAGTAAAGGGTATTGTTTGATTTGAAACCAAATTAAACAAAAACTTACACGAAATGTATGGCTTATAGTGCTGAAAATTTCTATTTAGATATTGGAAGCGAAAAGGTTAAATATTTATAACATCATGACCGCTAATCCGACGAATATCTCCTCTCCCCCAGGTGACGAAACTTCAGTCAAAAATATAAAGCTGTTTGACTTGGTTCCTGAACTGACAGATCTCTCGTCCTTCTACTCCTACAAGGGTTCCCTTACCACCCCTCCCTGCTATCAATCAGTTAGCTGGATTGTACTGAAAGAACCGATTAAATTCCATAAATCTGCGGTAAGAACATTTTTATCCTGTTTTTTTTGTTTGTTTGTTTTTTGTTTTTTTGTTTTTTTGCTTTTTTAACGGAGATCACTTCAAATTTAAACAATTTGGGATTTTAGACACTAGTGTTCCATTATAAAACTATAAGCAGTACCTGACGTGTCTCAATTGTACTCTTTCCCCGGTACAAGTTATGCTACTGACACCTCACAGAGCACAAACGTATGTGTTTATACTTATACATAAAAGAACAGTCACTAACCTTCTATAACTGCTGTTTTTTCCTATCTTCCGTTCACATCAAATGTGATTTTTTTTTCTTTCAGTTCGGTGCTATGAGGAAACTGAAAAATGGAGTGGGAGGCCTGATGTGTGGAAACTTCAGACCCCCTCAGACACTCAACGGCCGTGTTGTTTCTGAATTCGATCGCTAAGCCCGAGAATCAACTCGCAACTGCTTAGCACCACAGTAGCTGATTTAGAAACTCTGAGCTACATTTATATCATAGCTTTATTATTTAGGGTTTGAGTGACGTATTCCGAGGGTTTACTTTTGTTTTGTAAGGATGGAGAGTGACAATTAAATAAACTGCTTATCGGGCGTGTTTGACTATCACTATTAATTCAAAAAGAACGAGTCAAATTTCCACAAAAATGACGATAGAATACTTTGCTCTTGATAAAAAAAAGACCATTTAACAAAAATCTTCCATTGAATGGGGTAATCCTACAATAAGGTACCACATTCCAGAGACATCTCCTGATGACGACGAAAAGAAACGAACGAAGCGTTTTGTGTTATTTTTGGTTTTGTCAAATAGGTTGATAAAGTAGATAGGCCACCGTAAAGATTTTCAAAGCTGACGTTTCGAGCGTTAGCCCTTCCTCATTCGCTCTGAAGAAGGGCTAACGCTTGAAACGTCAACTCTGAAACTCTTTACGGTGGCAAATTTACTTTATTCAGTAATTCAATTGATAGAACCAAAATTACCTTGTTACCCTGACCACCGACGCAGCACCATAATTTCTTTAGAAACTTACCCCATTTACTCGTTTTGCGTTATACTTGATCAGCTTCGCTTGTTTCTCCCTTAAAACCCCACTATATAATGTGCTCATCTTCCTGTGGGCGAAACTTAACGCAATACTGAGGGGAAGGGGTAGGGTAGTAACCTGCATGGGAATAACATCTTACTTTTTTGGAGGGAGTAACAATTCTCACAGACGCTTTTGGCAACGAATGCTGGGATAAGCACTGGCGTTGTGAGCATCTTGGCATAACTGCTGACTTTTCTCTTTTTAACCATCTTGTTTAAGAGTCTTGTTTAAGATCTTCCAGACTACGGGTCTTTTTTTAGGTGTGATGAAAGCCGGAGGAGAAGCTACATAGCTCACAAGGCTGACCTCTTTCTTTTCCTCTCCTGATCGTAAAAGGTGCGCTGTCTCTTAATCTTGTAAGGTTTGACAATAGTTCACATAAAGAACACGAAATGGACGCAGAGTCATGCGTTTACCCATTTTATTCTGATTCCTCAGATTCACACAATTTTCAGAATGATAATGATATCCTGGAAAAAACTTGTACCAGCGTTAAACCTGACAGCTTTCGATGTGGTTGTTTAGTTGAACAGTCTATCATCGTCACATTGAGACACAGAGCGGCCGTTTCGCAGCAGGGTGGGTCTGAAGTTGTCGCACATAGGCTGCTCGTCGTCATTCAGGAGGCCTCTTAAAGCGCGCATCTGAAAAAACAGAAAAAAGAATTCTCCTTACAGTTGACCGTTGCAATAATTGAAACATTATTGCAAAAGTCTTTTGTGGTTTGTGGCTTTGAACATAGAATTTGGTCCATTTACAACAAAATTTTAAGATCTTTTTCGTCCAGGGAGAAATTGCTGTGTCAGCCGATTAAATGCCAAAAAGATATTCTCATAAATCATTATTTAGAAGTAAAACATTTCCCTACCACATATTCGCTGGCACGAATTGGACGTTTCAGCACGATCCATTGCACTGATTGGTAGCAGGGAGGAGTGGTTAGGGAGCCCTTGTAGAAATAGGACTTTGACAAATCTCTCAGATGAGGCACCAAGTTGTTCAAATATATCGCTCTGATACGCTTTTACGAACCTGCAGCGGAAACGATACTTTCTCATTCCCTGAATACAAGACACGTGATATTTGGTATTCATGCAAATCCAAACTCTTAAATTTCTTTTAATGTTTGACTTCGTGTGAAGAAAATATTGGTGAAATAATTCAATTATCCACTCGGTTCATCATTTCATATCAAACACAGTTATTATCAGATTATGATAAAATGTCAGATGTTACTCAACCATTTACAGCTGTCGAAGCAATAGATGCCATTTTAACATCAAAACGATATAATTGCTGCAATCATAATTAAGGAAGGTCTCTCGTCGCAAAACATGTAATTTCATCATTTTTGCCCCTTAAAAAATATTGAATATTTTTCTGTTGTACCCGGCGAACTTGTGGGCCGGTATACTCTGCTCAAAACTGAGTATCGTCATATTCTTGTTATGTAATGCATACTGATGTTCTTTTATTCATCCTGTCCCGGCATGCCTTACCAGCCTTTCTTATGTAACGTGCTGCTCCACTTATAACTTTTAATGAATAACTTGAGTCATCATCGTCATCTTCCTTCGATTCAAAACAAAAAGCGTCGTGGCGTCAAAACTCCATCGAAATATCTAAAATTCATAGAACAACTAACAAACGAAAACTTCATTCGAATCCCGACAACCAGGTAATAGTTTTTAGAGGTGACTGGTTAGAAAACCCGACCAAGGGCGTAGCTAGGTAAGGGGGGGTGGGGGGTCCTAGGATGCCCGTGATCCCCCTATCCCCCTTTGTAAGCCTTTTTTGTCAACATTAATTAAAACGCGGCGCGGAGATCGACGTGACAACTCGGTGAGTACCCTCTATTTGACAAAGTGTGACCTCCCTTTGAAAAATCCTAGCGACGCCCCTGCCGACAAATTACTCTGTTGATGGTTCTTTTCAGGTCTATTTGGATCCGATTTCACTCTACGTTTCAAAGCATTCCAACCTCTTTGAACTGACAGAGCAATAGAGAAATCTCGTCAATATTTTAGTCAGATTGTGTTAAAACAAGCTCAGTAAGAGAAATCGCAACATAAACTAGAACACTTTTGTCTTTACCGTTGATTTTTGCTGGCTTTACTAACTATCATCTCCGCTGACCGTGCTCGGGTTTACTTGAAACAAAATGACAGATCTTTTTTTTACCTGTATGAATACACCAATCACAGCCAGTCCGTCTGGTTTGTCCACAGCAGTTTTAAAGTCTCCATACCTTATGTTATAGTGCACCAAATGAAGCTAAAAGGTAAGTAACGTGTATTACCATTAAAAACAAACTAAAACAACATAGATGTTCCACTTTAAAACTACTTATACTTTCAAAAAACTGAGTACTTGACAAAACTGAGTACTTGACAACTCACACCGAAACTGCGATATCGTTCTGATTTGGACAGAAACTTCGTCTTTTCGTTTCTGAAAAAATGATGCATACTTTTTTAGATATCGTTTGCAGAGGCAACCTTTTCGCACGGGCTCGCTATCTTCTCCCTAATTGTCCCTCCATATAATGCTTTAATACTTAACTGTGTCCCAGTACCTCTCCTGCGAATGCCCTTCCGTTGACAGTGTGTTCAGATCCTTTGTTGTTCTCACAACCAAAATGAATGTGCATCTGCTGAAGCTTATACACGCTGTTTCCTAGAGGACCCCCAGTGAGTGTTGAAGTACCCCTCGGTTTGTCTATTTCCAGGGTAGGAGCATGACCATTGTTCTCTAAAACACCATAGACTCTTCCGTACCAGTCCTCAGGTAAAAATCGGAGTTTCCTCAGACTTCCATCATTTTTCAACGAGCTCTTCTCAATGTTTATGGGGGACTGGGCGCTCTCGTCACAATGCTTTGAAACCTTTCCCCAGTCATTTGGACCATAGATTTCATGAACTTTGTCTGTGGGCAAAGTCAGCGTTAACTACCTTCAATATTAAATATATATATTTTTAAGAGTTACTTTAAGTTTAGATGAAAAAATGATTTCAATACCAACCATTACACCCATTACACTTTGTTGAGTATTCGAAATTAGTAATCAACTGTCATTCAGTCCATTTCCAAAGAAAATCTTCACAAGTTCACATTATCTGACAGCTTTCTATTGCACATTTTCATTGCAGCCGCGAACTTTTCATCACTTTCAATGTAGGTGCTGTTTGATACAATAAAATAACATGGGTAATTTTCATTAGGCATTTGCCGAAGTTGGTTTGTATCGCGGCAGGTCTGTTTCGCTCTCATTACTGCGCATCCCAGTTCCTCTACCTGAAATGTATCAAAATTAAACTCCATATCTACAAGATAACACAGCCTTGTTAGGAAAATAATACCTGTTTTTCCATATTTCCACTTGGCACCTGGTTAATAGAAAACAAAGAAAACCTGAATTATTCTTCCTGTCTTTTGAGTATTTATGCGCACAAGTTACAAGTGAGTTATCCCTAACTTTTTCATCTTCCGCCCGTGGAAAAAAAATACCAAAACATACGTTTTTCACCAATACAGTTTAATTGATTTAAAAGAGTGATTTAATTTTGCGCATTTCTTCAATGCTAGTAAATACTTATTAAGCAATCCTGAGGCCCTTTGAGTATCTTACCTTGGGAGGTCAGCGCTGCACCCACAAGAACAGCTAATATCGCAATTTGGAACATTGTATTTTACGTCTGTAAATAGAAAGTCGGTAAATAATCAAAACTTTCTCGAAGATATATCTGCAATCAGGTTTGAATCACTTAAACAGCCCGTAACATTAACCTTAGCTTCTCCGGCGAGGTCGGCCTAACGCACGGTATTTGGTAAACTGGGTCAGTAAAATGTGGATGAGTGAAGAAAACCCACAAAAAGGGATTAAATGTCTTTTCTTCATTAGAACGATCGTCCTAACAGGATCTAAAAAAACAGTTCGCGTTTAACGTCTCAAAAATTATAGTTTTCACTTCCGAATGAGCTTAAAAGAACAATAAATAAAGCAAAAGTACGTCTAAAGTATGAACTTTTTTCCTCGAAACAATTTTCTTTAATCAATCTGATACCACAAGGAGCAAACGTGGAGAAATTTACTGTTCATGGAAAGACTGAGATTCTTTAGACAGATGTGTTGGGTAGACTTTTACAGCAGTTGTCAAGTTGGTTGATGTTATGTATTGAGACACAACATTTTAGTTCGGTGGTTGAACTCAATCATAATTTATTTTCTATGAATACCATGACTCATCACGTCATATACGTCATACACATCAGTTGATATCGCAGGTTTGCAGGTGAAAAAGCTTTAAACAGTAAATGTTTATTCTCAGCATATGAGATGGTCGATATTTCTCGTGATTTTTCCCTTTCATGTTTGACCAGCGACTTACCTACCTGCGTATTCGTGGGTGGCGTTGCTTTGACGGTGAGAAATGTCCCACATTTTCCGTCAAATCCTCCTACTTTTGGTGGTACTAGACTTTATTGTTATCGCAGAAATGTTATCTGTTGCAAGCAAGCTTGACTTATTTCTAGTTCATGACTCATTAAGAATAACAAGAACTGGTATTATTAACTTAATTCCATTATGTAATGTTCAAAAACGCTACGTTATTGAATTTTGTACCTTTGTACAACTTCAGTTCAAGAAGGATTTTTATGACTTATAGAAAACTGGGAAATAATTTTCTTTATAAAGAAAATGACTCTGGCGACTACAAACCCATCGAATTCTATTAGGAGAATCTTGCAGGCAGGATATTACAAGAATGATCAGCTAAGTATTCATAACAACATTTCCTATTTCATTGTTGCAATTCACGTTATCACATGACCATGTATACCTTAATGCTTTGAATCTAGCAGGTACAGAACTAGTAAGTCTAATATGAACTATTTATAGTGAGAATTGATAGTTCCTGGGTACTCCGAGCCAGTGAAGTTTATTGGAAATTCGAAAGAAAAATGTATGTTCCAGCAGTTGTGTAAAACGCAAGTACTAGCATATACGTAACTCCCCAAAACGTCAACCTTTCTGTTGCTACATTTTTTAAATAAATAAGCGAGCTAATCCTTGCAAACTACATATGAGTAAGTTGCGCTTCTAAATTACCGTAATCGTTGAGAGAAACAAGTTTGATGTTTTTATTTCCCTGTGGTATCAAGGCTTTGTGTTCTCTGTCAGTTGTCAAGACAGCGCGGATGTTAATAGCGGCAGTGAGTTGTGAAAAAGTCTGCTCTTTGAATTTAATAAATAAGGATACAAATGAAATTTCTCTCACACTTACCAGATACACTACGAACCGATCCAAAAGCGGTGCAAAAATAAGCCAATGACTATTACTCGTTTGCTAGAAATTGTTTTTTCTCAAGGCCCGAGTTCTGACTGGCTAATCTTCGGGCAATAATTATTTCTTGACCCTCGTTCTTGTATCTCATCCCAAATTGTTATAAATGCCGCCGCCCTGATTGATTTTTCGTCCATACAAATAATCTTTCATGATACTGAGGCCAGCTGATTCAGGTGTGTTTGGTGTAAATCACGCGGACAAAGGAAGCTCATAAAACACACGAAGTGGTTTGTTTTTAATTTTCCACCAATTTAATCTTCATTTTTTCGAACACAGCCAGAGAATCGCATTGGCATATTACAGAAAACAAAACCTAATAACAATTGACAATGTCAGTACACAAATCTGGAGCTAGTACATAACGGCAAGAAGCAATATGGACATGAAAATGAATAAAGAAGACAGAAAATGAAACTGCTTCACATCTTACCAAGTATTCAGATGTCTACAGACGTAAATCTGCACACATTTTAGAAGCTTTATCTAACTTGGTAAAGATATACAACATAAAACTCGGCAAACTCCAGTGCAGACTTCGGCCGATCTTTCACAAACTTGTTAGCAAAACGTTTACGTAGAGCTCAAGATCAGTTGCCAAAGATAATGTGAAAAAATCAAAATGACCATTTCTATCAACTACTAGGTTAGAAGTGGGTGAAATTCTGAAAAAAATCTCGGAGCGGACCTGACGCGGCATAAACCAACCTCGGCAAAGACCTAATAAAAATTATTTATTTATGGAAACAGCCCCAACTTTGCTAGCGGCGATAAATTCTGCGAAAGGAATGTGCCATTGAAAGCCGTCAGATAATGCGATCTTAAGAAGATGTTATTTGGAAATGGACTAAATTAAGAGCACATGAATCGGTTGAAAAAAAAACAAAAAAACACAAGGTCACCATGCCAAACTCACCAACGTAGCGAATGACAATGATCAGAGGAAAAAGTAAAAAGGGGGGGGGGGCTCTCTTCAGTAACGTATGGTGATCTCATAGTTTGAATAAAAATCAATAGTGATTGTAGGCCTTACTCAATAGATAACACCTTCATCGAGGTGCTATCGGGTCCCCTAAACAACTCGATTGGTCTCGGCTAATTCCTTGGGAATCACAGAAGAGAGCGAGACAACGTTGAAAGGCTTCGACACCTGTACAAACTTAAGACGTCTCCTAACAACTCGTCAAAATCCACTGGTGAGCCCAGGATACCGTTTACATGACATTTTCCTTCTAATTCCAGAGAAAAAAGCGTATGATACTCAGAGTTTAGGTTCCGTAATTTAGGACTCAAACTTTGACATTTTCTCTGTATAACGCAAAGATGATGTGAAGAGTACAAAAAGTGATGGCAAATGTTTCTTTTTATACCCAGAAGGTTACACAGTTGTCACAACTTAGTTTATGATCAAAACCCATTTTTTATTAACTTTTGGGACAAAAGTTTTAGCCTTCCATGAGCTACCATTATATTGAGGTGGATATTTGTTACAAAGGTCCAAAACAATAAGCCCAAATTGTGATCCGGCTAGTAGCCACTGCTCTTTATGCAGACCATATCATGTCTTAGTGAAACTAATCGCATCGTCAGTGAAAGAAGGGGACGTTCAGTAGGCCAGGGAGCTTTTCCTTTCCAGGCCATTTGAAAATCTTGCGACCATTCAGCGGTTTCACAGGTCTAAAGTTGTTGCACAGGGAGTCGCCGCTGGTCGAGGATAACGATCGCAGTAACTCCAGCTGAAAAGAAATTATACAATTGCGTTGCTCTGATAACAATTGCAAAATAAATTTATCGTGCTTACACCTCTTTGTATGAAATCCGTCTGAGCAATGGCATCAACACCAAATTCTCTCGGCTTGAGCGGTTACTGTATTCTCCTGCCTATGGCACTACGGTGGGCGCACACAACGCCCTGTGAGACCTGCTACTAACCTGGGATTCGGTGACCGGTATTGGGTTCTTCATTAAAATCCATTGCACGGATTCGTAGCAGGGAGGGGTGGTAAGGGAACCTTTGTACGTGTAGTAAGGAGCACTTTTGGACATCAGGTCTGGAACAAGCTGTGTCAGCGGTACACTGCCATCAAGACTGTAGCTGTCGCCTTCAAAAAAAAAAACAAACAAAAAAGGAAATTTGTAACAGTTTCGTTGGAAGAAAGGACTAAATCGCAAATTACACAAGTGAATGTTTAATAACCGTTGGGAGTTACGACATTGGTTGATGCCAGAGCAATGTTCTCCATCCATTTATTGAAACCTCCGTTCACCTCCAAAAGAACGCAAGAACGAAAAGTTAGTCAGTTAACTTCTAGGTGGAGCCGAATTCATGAGACGACTAAATCCATCAGCAACAGTAATGACGATGTGCAATATAAATTCCGCAATCTATCGATATATCCACCAAAGCCTCAAAGTGTCAAAATTTAAACAAACTAATTACGGATGATAAAAGGCAATACCAAAATTTACCTGCAGAAACACTCCAATAACTAACAACCCATCGGGCTTGGAGACGGCGTCCTTGAAATTTCCATAGATGTCATTATAAAACATCAAGTGCATCTGCCGAAAAAGACAAATGTAAAATAGTACTTGTGTCTTTCATTTGTAACCTCTCTATCTTTCTTTCGTCGGAGAGAACAAATAGAGCCAAACAGAAATTCACAGCGCTTGACTATCGTTAAGATTTTATGATGATAGTCTGTCACAAGAAAAAAATATTTAGTTGCCCCCCTACCTCAGCAACCGTCCCTTTGAAGAGAGTCTTAAATTTCGTTGCTTACTTGCTATAATTGGGTCGTGCTGACCCTTAATTTGTACAACATTAGCATTAATTCCTTCATGATACCTCTGACGCAAAAGAGTTTCCATCCACGGTATGTTCAGAGCCAACATTACTTTCACATCCAAAATGAAAACGAAACTGTTCCAGACGAAAGGTGTTTTGACCAAGAGGACCTGCTGTGAGGGTTAGCCCGCCTTTGGTTTTATCCAGGGTAACTGTAAGGGCGTGACCATTGTTCGACAAGACGCCACTCACTGTTCCATCCTCATTATCAAAGATCGGCACCAGGCCACCATAAGAAGAGTTTGACTGAGACAGACTGGTGACAATGTCAATGGGGGACTGGAACTGACCACTGCATGAAGGCACCGCTAGACCCCAGTCTGCCGGACCGAACTCTAGAGAATTTTTTTAAAAGAATTCACTTCGTACGTCGATGGTCGAGGAAAGGACCACGCTACGAGATTTCGTCAGATTTCAGTGAAAGGTTACCGGTACTCATTTCTACTCTTGGCTAGGTCTAAAGCCTATGCTTCTTGACTCACATCCCCACCCCGCGCTAACTGTAAGGCCACGATATCTCTCGCTCACAATTCAGAAATACAAATAATAAGTTTTGTGCAAAATCCAAGAGGCTAGCTGACTCACCCTTTGCTTTTAGAGCTTATGTTATTTAGGTACATTTGTATAATTTTCAATACGTTGAATCAGACCTGTTTCTTTGTATCCCCACTGGCGTCCTCCTAGTAAAAAAAAAAAAAAAAAACGTTACAGATAAAAAGGTTTTAGAATTTGTGTTTTGAACTGATCTTGAATTACAGCTATCTTATTGCTGTCTCTATAATTTCCCGCAGGGACGCCAAATTCAAGAGACAAAAACAAAAAATATGATGACCTAATGTTTGTGTCGATGATATACCTTATGAGCACTAATTCAGATCGAGTCAATGAATCAGTAGCTCTTCGTTTGATTTGATATTAATGTGATATAAGAATTGCGGTGGTTTACTAGAGAATTAAACTTGTGTTGCAAGGAACATTCTGTCTTCTTGTAGTTGTTTGATTACGGATCTTAAATGTTAAGGAAGAACAGAGACCTTACCTTCGTCAGCAAACGCATTGTTGAAAACTACCGCCAAAACAGCCACGATTAAGCAGTCCATGATGCTGCACAAATATTTTCACCTGCATTCAATAACAATGAGCCTTAGGAATTTGGTTGTGTATAAGGTTGTTTCAGACCAATATATCAAATGTTGACGAATCCTCTGGTATCATAATACTTGGACTGAGCTTTATAATGTAATGATCATTGTGCTACTATCAGTTTTTGTCTTTGTTAAATCCTGGTTGTTATGTCACCAAGGACTCGTTTTTGTACCGAGAAAAATGAAAGCTAAATATGTTTCAATAAGACCCTTTTCTTAACTATCGTCATAAAACTCTGACAAATTTTAGCAAAAATTTTCATTCAGATTTGCTTTTAATTTTTAATCACAGCATTATGTTCGAAAAAAAATCGCCTTCTTTCTTTTGTTAAGATATGGTTGGCCAGAAATTGGTACAAGAGCGAGGGGGTTAATCCTGGTAAATTCAGAGTAAGCCGAGTTATGAAGACAGGGAAGAATTTGCAACGAAACTTAAGTTCGATCTTCTTTTTTCCCCAGTCGTTCCTTAAAAATTTATCAGGACTTTTGTCCATAAGGCACTGTGTGCTCTAGGTCATATTATTACCGAAGAAGCAAAGTTATCAGAGATTTCAGGTTATCTCCAGGACACTGATTCACAAGGTTGAAATATTTACTGACAAAATCGAAAAAATCCTTACCTACCTTTTTGCTTCCTTCTTTTCTAAATGAATATTTCTTAAGTGTATGCAACTACAAACAGTAAATAATTGATCACAATTTATTTCAATTAGAGCCAAAACCACAAACTACCACTGTAATTGTGAAAATTCGTCCAATAGTTTCCACAGCCCCTTTTTTTCGTTGTCTTTTGCAGAAAGAATCTAATTATTTGGGACAGATGGCAAGAGATCCTCCAATTGTTCAGTAATTATGCTGTACCTTTTTCTATATTATGTACCCTATGGTCTTCAACGCCATAACAAAAATTCAACGAGAAGAGTGAATATTTAATTGAAAATCTCTATCCAACGCAATGGTGATGTAAAGATCACAAAAAGTGATGGCAAATGATTCTTTTAAGTGGGATATTTCGTTTAGAAAATATTTTACTTCCTTTGGAAAAAAACCATATGATACGCAGAGGATAGGCTCGGTAATTCAGGACTCAAACTATTATAATTCTCTATACAACGCAATGGTGATGTAAAGATCACAAAAAGGGATGGCAAATGATTCTTTTAAGCCCAAAAGGTTACACAGTTGTCACAGCTTAGTTTATGATCAAAACCCGCTTTTTATTGTATTTTCTAAAAAACTTTTTAACTTTCGATGAACTGTATTAAGATGGAAATTTGCTACAAAGGTCAAAAGCGATGAGTCCAAATTGTGATCCGGCTAGTAGCCACTGCTAATTATGTAGACCACATCATGTCTTAGTGAAACTCTCAGACCGTCAGTGAAAGAAGGGGATCTTCAGCAGGCCAGGGACCTTTTCCTTTCCAGGCCATTTAAAAGTCTTGCGACCATTCAGCGGTTTCACAGGCCTAAAGTTGTTGCACAGGGACCCGCCGCTGGTCTTGGATAATGATCGCAGTAACTCCAGCTGAAAAGAAATTATACAATAGCGTTGCTATGATAACAATTGCAAAATAAATGTATCGTGCTTACCCCTCTTTGTATGAAATCCGTCTGGGCGGTGGCATCAACACCAAATTCTCTCGGCTTGAGCGGCTCTTCTTTTCTCCTGCCTATGGCGCTACGCTGGGCGCACACTACGTGCCGTGAGCCCTGCTACTAACCTGGGATTCGGTGACCGGTATTGGGTTCTTCATTATGATCCACTGCCGCACGGATTCGTAGCAGGGAGGGGTGGTAAGGGAACCCTTGTAAGTGTAGTAACGAGCACTTTTAGGCATCAGGTCTGGAACAAGTTGTGTCAGCGGTATACTACCATCAAGACTGTAGCTGTCACCTTAAAAAATAGTAATGTAACAGTTTCGCAAGAAGTAAGGACTTAACCGCAAATGACATCTAGTTTATGCTCAGTTACCGTTGGGAGTTACAACATTGGTTGATGCCAGAGCAATGTTCTCCATCCATTTATTGAATCCTCCGTTTACCTTCAAAAGAACATGAGAACGAAAAGTTACTCAGTTTACTTCTAAGTGAAGCCGAATCTTCTTGAATGGGTGAATCCACCAGCAACAGTAGTTACGATATGCAATATGAATTCCGTAATGTATCGATTTAACCACCTAAGCCTCAAAGTGTCAAAAGTGGAACAAACTGAGAGCTATGGTTTTAAAAAGGCAACACCAAAATTACCTGCAGAAACACTCCGATAACTACCAGCCCATTGGGCTTGGAAAAGGCTTCGTTGAAATGTCCATAGATGTCAGTAAGACGTAGCCCATCGAAAAGTTATCAGTGTAAATAAACGGAGTAAAGAAATCGAGAAGAAATTTTGAATGGGGAGTAGAGAATCGTCGCACATTTTTCTTGAACTGTGGTAAAGAAAACCACAGTCAAAAATATATATATATGAACTTCATATATTCATTGCATCTCACAGTCAATTAAGTCGGAGTAGAAACAGTACAGCTGACATGTGAACCAATTTGTATTTTCAATTAACATTCCTATGTTTATGAATGGATTAAAAATGGAGAAAGAAGAGAAGAGTTGCCATGGTTAAGTTCGAATTATAAACAAAAAAAATGGGACTCAGTGAATTTTAATTGTCAAGGCCTATTGAAGCTAGAAAGCAACTGTGTCTGGTTCAACTTTTCTATTATTCAGCACCTTTTGCAGATCTGACGAGATATATATATATATATATCCCCGTTTGTCAAGTTTGTCGACATTATCACAAGACATGAACTAGTTTACTATCAAGTGTACCAAGATTTTAGAATGAGGGATCAAAAACGGTAACACTGTATCACTAAAACATAAAGATCTGAAAGGAAAATCGACCCTGAAATTCTGCATTAAATGGCATTTTTCTTCCTATGTGTGTGCGAATTTTACCATAAATAATCAACAACGTAAAATAATTACTACCACAGCTCCTTGGCTGTGGAGAACCTGGGCACTACTCAAAAAGTGGTAACCTTGGAAACATATCAGCACGCTCGAATGTCACAAAATGGCGAACACCATAACTGCGATGCTTTTGCAAGAGCCAAAATCAGGCCCCACTGGCTACCCTTTGCAGCCTCGATCGCCCATGAGAATTCTAGTAAGTCTTCCGACTTCTCAACAGCCATAACTTGAGTCAAGTTGAATTATTTTATCGTTTCTTATGGTCGCTGCTTACTGTGAACGTCCTTGATCCGGAAATGAAAACTTTAGTCTCGACTATATTTACATTTCCATTACACCAAACTGATGAGCGATGTGTTTCACATTCTTTTATATTTGTAGTCTGGAAGAAGAAGTAAGAGCCCGTACTATGAAGAACCAGTGTCGGACAGAGAGGAGTGGTGGCGATCCACCCTCAAGGTGACATAAAACCTCAAATAATTTATTTAATAATTTGAACAAACACGCGACTAGTAATTAAGGTTATAATTTTTAAAACTAACACTGGGTTTATTTCTTGATACAAAGTAAGATTACATTCGCAAAGGCCAATCATTTTGTTAAGTTGGTGATATCTAACACGTTGCTGAAATTGAATGAAAATAGCGTCTATTGTGTTATGCCTCGTTCTTCAAAGACTATCGATACATGTAAATGAGGTGGCCCGGCATTCTGAAGTTTCTCCCAAAATTGAGGTCAAAGGAGGTAAAATTGGCAAAACTTGACGTGACTGGACTATGAATGGTGCGTTTGGGAAGGTAATCACTGTAATATTGTGATGAGAAAATCAAATTATTAATAAAAATCAATCTACAAAGTGACGAGTTCTTTCATACTGTGTAATTGTAAATCATACATTAGGCACGGCAATATGTCTGGACGCACAGGATACCAGGTGAAAAGGGCCAGGTTTAAGGCCTGGCCAGGTCACTGTGTGGTGTTGTTAGGCAAGACACTTGACTTACACAGTGCCTCTCTCTACACAGGAGTATATAAGGGTACCAGCAAGCTCGAAGGGAAATGCGTAAAAAAGGGTGTCAGAGGCAGATCTAGGGCAGGGCCCGTTCCCCCCTAATTTTGGGTAAAAAAATAAATGCAGTAGGAAGAAAAGCTGGCAGGTGTACATACACACAAAAACTGGAGTCTGCTACATATTTTTTTAACTATGTTGTCATGAATACCAAAGGAGACACATACTAGGCCATTTAAACAATGGAATAATGTCTGTTCCTGTTTCTTCTGAAGCCTTGTGTTCTGTCCTATGGTTTTAGGACACACCTGTTCCAGGAAGTTATGAACTGAAAGATTTTGTTGAGGAATTCCAAGGAAAACCTGTGAGAACCACCTATGGATTTAAGAATGCAGGAAGAAAAAGAAATATGGACCCATCACGCAATGGTGACTTATTAATGCCAGGACTGTACAAACATGGAACATCCATTGATCAGCTGGATAAACAACAAGTGACATATAGTTTTAAGTCTTGTGACAGATATCACACTCCAACAGCACTTGTGGGATACATGGACAAGGTATTCTGTAGATCTAGGCTGAGGTTCAAAGTTTTGCTTGGTTTAATCGTTTTCAAACCAAATTTTCAAATTAAATTTTCAAATTAAATTAAACTGGTTTGAAAATTTAAAACTAAGAGAAAATTTGAACCACATCTTTTTATGAATTTACATGGCCTTGCTGAAAATGTTTACTACAGTATGAAAGTTTGCTATGTATATAAAGTTTAATATTTTTTATTTAAAACAATGTTGTTGAACCTAATGCAGTAAATGGTTTGAACCCGTGGGTAACATGTGAAGGTCTAGTCTGATCGTCCGGGTGAGTGTAGTCCTGAGAAGGACTGTTGTCGGTGGTAGTGACTGATGTTTCGACAACCTGTGTGGAAGACACTTGACTCTGATGATGACTTCTGCACAGGTTGTCGAAACGTCAGTCACTACCACCAACAACAGTCCTTCTCAGGACTACACTCACCCGGACGATCAGACTACACCTTAAAATGTTGTTGAAGGCGTCAACCCTAATACAGTATCTCCCTCTGACCAGGTGGTCACCACATGGCAAGTCTGTGGTTTGATATAATTTAAGGTGACAATGGATTTACATGTGGAGGCGCGGTGGCCTCATGGTTGGTGCGCTTGACTCCGGATCGAGTGGTCCGGATTCGAGCCCCCGCCGGGACATTGTGTTGTGTTCTAAAGGAAGACACTTTACTCTCACAGTGCCTCTCTTCACCCAGGTGTATAAATGGGTACCGGCAAATTTAATGCCGGGGGTAACCCTGGGAACGACTGGCATCCCATCCAGGGGGGAGTAGAAATACTCCTAGTCGCTTCATGCTACAGAAACCAGAGTTAAGCACCGGCCTAATGGGCCACTAGGCTCGTAAACAGACTTTACCATGGATTTACATACAATTATGATGACAGTGATTATATTTAAAACAATATCTGTATATACCAGGTTTTTAATTTGTGACTGTTAATGTTCTAGAAACAAGTTGTAGAGGTTAGAGCTGAGAAAGAACAAGAAATGAACATTTTCTGCCTATGAAAATAAACAGTGTCTACGGTTGTGAAGATAATTTCAAAATCACATTTACTCTATTGATTAACTTTTACTGCAGGAGTTTGTGAAGAGTCAAATCAGTCCAAACACATATTACACTGGATACCAATATGTGCCAAAGTTACCTTCAAAGTAAGTAACTTAATTTAAGATGGAAAGAATCAATCTACTTCTCTGGTAGTGCAAAGTGAATCTTGTTGTTGAAGATATACAGGGAAATAACTATCAGTTCAAACATTTTATGTATTAAAATAAATATCTTTTGAATAGGCATCCAGCTTTCAAGTCTCAAGAGCGCAGATTCCCAACCATCTACTTTAAACCAGTGAGTGATTCCTCAAAGAAATAGTTTGTGTAGAGGAACCAAAGACCTTAATGTTTCATTCCACAAGGATAATGTCAAGGGAATTAAGATACTTAAGGTCACTCTCAGAGCTCGAGGAGTTAACAATGAAACTGAGTATAGCTGTTGGTAGATTTGGTTTCGTAATTAATTTTCTTGTCAGTTTTATTGCTTGACTCTTTACTTCACAGGCTTCTAGACTTTTTGTGGCTTTTGATATCAATATGATACAAATTTCTTTCGTGTCTATTTTGTCTTCACAGAGAGACGGTCCTCCTCCTGGACAGTACAAACTCTCAAAGGACCCAATTTTACCAAAAGGACCAAATGTTACATCTCCATTCAAGTCAAAAACTCCAAGATTTGTCCAACCTCATGTGCTGGTATGTAATGGCTGACAGAAAAGTTAAGGGTTGCATGACTGTGGCGAAGAGCAACTTTGTGATCCAAAAAGCCCAAAGATTTCTTGAGTTAATTAGTATTACTGGCTTTTTTGATAGAAATTCTCAAAATCCTAACAGAAAAGAATTATAATAATTTTAAGGGAATTTTAAATTTTTTTGTCTTCTAGCTGATCATTAAACTTCTGAAAGACCATGAACAACAATGTTTTTCTCACAGTGCCTCTCTAACCCAGAGTATAAAATAAGTACTTCCCAATCATGGGGATGAAGACAGCCTGACAAAATATCAACATCCCATTCCTGGGGATTGCCAATATCCAACTCCTAGTTGCTTCACAGCAATAAAACTGGGATATGCTCAGGATGTAAATTTGTATACTGCAAAAATTACCAGAATAATTCACTATTGTTCACAATTTTTTTCCCTCTTATTGCACCCACAAATTAGAAAACGCCTGGTCCTGGAACATATTGCAAGACATACCAGACACCAATGCCAGGCACAATCAAGAAAATGGCAAGAAATTATGGATTGTTTTTTACCTCAGGGAATTATGGAGAATATTATTAACATATTTGTCTTCATAAATTACACATGGGAAGGACACACTGTCAGACACAAAGAAAGCTATGCATTGAACGTGAAGGAGATTTAAAAAAACTACCAACCAATACTCCTGTTGATACACCTGTACATTTGTAAATTGGAAATAGATTAACTGGTTTTTTAAATTGCTTTTGTTTGTTTATTAATAAAACTATGTGAAATAAAAAATTGTTACATGTCACATGTTGAAGTTTATTTATTTGAATGAGCTTTCCTCTTTTTTCTTCTGCATTCTGCAACTTACACAAATCTTTAAGAGATGTTAACCAAGAGGATGGGAAAACACACTTAGAAACAGTTATGTTGTATGAATAAATCACCAGGGTCAGCGCTCTTTTATAAGAATAATCTTTCCTCTATCAAACCTCCTGTACAGGCGATGATTGGTCTCCCCTATTTTTTCAAGAGACCACAGAATGGTGGAAACCTGTTTATCGTCTACATTCGAGTCTCCAGTACTATCAGCAATATGGTTCAACAATTGTCGAAACATGCTGCAACCTTCTGCAGATGCTGCCCTGATCTTTTGCAGTTCCAGCCTCTGCTTCTCATCATGCCACACAGCTCTTGCCAACTTGCGCAACAATTCAATACAATCTTCTGTTTCTAATGAATCTTTTGATGTTTCAAAGATGTCAAGGAGTTCCTGGACGGTTTTATGAGCTGTATTTTCCTCCTTCATTGGGAACACAGAAACTGATGAAAAGCTGTAGACCTGAGAATGTTGCAAAGGAACACTTGTTCCTAGTCCTGATGACTTGTTTGTTGTCCATGATTGGTACCTCGTGCTAACTGTATTTATGTTTTGAGGTAACAATGAGAGAGCTCTTAGAGTTGATGAGGAAAGAGCAGTTCTTCGCACAATGCTTCTTGTCGTGGCGGCAACTAACAAGTTTGGAAGCTCCTTGGTCAGAAGCATACTCAGCTGGTTTACCATTTTTTAGACCTTACAAGAATTACTCTCAACTGATTCCTATTGAAAGAACAAGAAATACGGTGTAAAAAAACTATGATTTCTACAAACTTTGTGTCACAGCAGATGACAACTAGCTCTGAAAACTGCTGTTGTCGAAATAGGTTTCAACACTTTTGAATTGTCACTACTTGCCAACTGACCATTACAGAGTGAATGCGATCAAGGGTTGACAAACGATTCAAGCCAAAATATTTCCAACTTTTAACTATAAGTTAATTAAACTCTTCTACATGTTTTTAATCCACCGTGTGAAATATGAGCACAAGATAATTTTGTTTACCTCTCCGTAGTTGTCGAGGTGGGAATCAATCTTAAATCACACAATGTTTTGGCTGAAAAATCCTAAAAATAATGTTTAGGAAATTCTTATTCAAGAAATAAACGGAGAGGTCAAGAATACTGTAGCATCAATGTAACACCAACCGTTTTGGGAAGTGTGAATCACAGCTCTTTCCACTCCAACAGATATTTCTGCCAGAACTCCACTGTATGCCTCGTTTTGGATACCTACTTTATATAAAAATACTGTTTTATCATCATGCACTTTGGATGGTCTGTCCCCATGGTGCACAAGACAAAGACACACAGCAAAACATGCAAACATATGATAAATATGTTAACTTTATTAGAACGTAATTCAAACGCAGCAATTGACAAGATGTCTGTAAACATGACTTATACATTTTCCATAGTTAAAGGTTGAGACAAATTCCTAAGAAAATTCTGTACTAAAATTTAGGTCTGGCCAGTTCACAGCCTTTGTGTGCGAGGTTGAATAGAAGGCAAAATAATTTATACTTAATAATTTAAGATAGCAAAATTAATCTTTTGCTTGTTCAAATTTTCATAGTATATTAATTGATAGAATTAAATGACTGATAATAAAGTATGTTGCAGTTCTTACAAACATTCAACGCATATGAAGTAAATGTAAGCCCCATGAAGTCTAGTTATTGATAAACTCATAATTTTTTTAAATTTGGATCTGTTTGCTCTTGCTTCAGTCAAATTCAAATCTGAAATCTTTCAAGTGTATATTCAAGGATTTGATTTCTTCAAATCAGAATCATGTTGGGACTCCAAACAAAATTGTTATTAGAAAAGATTACAAAAAATGAATTCACAGTTGATGATTTTTCCTAGGACCTCCAGCTCTCTGGAAACCATGAAGGATGATGCTGGAATTCTAGCCACATATCAATATAACTACCATCATTATTGTTAATGCCATACATTATCCTTATTGTAATTATCAAAATTATTAATATTACTGTTATCTTTGTCATCATTATTATTAAAGTACAAACACAACCAATATGTGGGGGCTTAAATATGCTCAATGTGGTTCATCTCATCCACAAAGTATCAGTTTTCAATGTTATTTTTGTTTTGTTTTTTATATAAATTTCATAATTTGAGCAGATTAGTAAATCTAGTGAGAAATGAACCAAGAGATAAGACCTGATGCTCTACAGATCTACATGTACAATGGCAAACTTTGAACAAATTCTTCAAATATTTTAGAAGACTAATAGCCATGGTATAGCTGTGTCATTTGCCACTGTTGTCAAGGGCCACAATATAATGCCAAACAAATCTAACTTGGCTAGGACATTTTGACAACCATCTGTGTACAAAAGTTGAATGCATATTGATCATGACACCTACATTCTGTATCATTATGATAACATGTGCGCATACTTAAAGCACCATAAAGTAGCAATTACCAATATCAACCAAAGAATGATCTTCTAACAAGTTTCTCTTGTTAATTTTACTTCCCACAGTGAATTAACACTGAATATAATTTTTATTACTAAATGACAATGTCAATATCCTTAAAATTCTCAAAAGTGTTTGGTCTGTATTCTTTTTTTACATGATCACTCTATAAGTTGCTATTGGATGGCACAAACAGCACTCTTGTTTTGTTGTAAGGCAGCTGGCAGATCAGTGCTTCTGTTTTGTCGCATCATCTCTAAAATCTAAGGATAGGAAGAAGAAGAAACTGGGCCTCATTAAAAAATTCTCATGGTTTTAAATAAATTTACATATATCAAATTCAACCACACTGCATCAATGTAGTATTCAGCGAGCAAGCAGTGGTGTATGGTTAAAGGAAGAGCGATACAAAAGGAATCATGGAGAAAAAGGAAAGGGTTCTTTCTATTGCTTCTCTCATGAAAGCAGAGTACAACTTACCCCTATACATTCAAAGAAGTCTATAGAATTTGTATTGTCCACATCTATTTTCTTAAATATCTTTTCCCTTATTTCTGTCTTTGTGTACATCAGAGAGCTCCCCTGCTGAGCTATTAAATCCAACATCTTTTCTAGTTCATCACTGTCTATGGTCTGAGAAAAAAATTACACATCAATCCATCTGGTATGTGCATATGTTGTAGTTCAATTTTATACTTGGTTCAAATTTTATTTCCCTTTGTTCTCGGTCATGTTAATGTATGATAGAGAGTTTGAAACAAAGGAAAATAAAATTTGAGCCAAAGATAAAATTGAACTACAACACATACATGTAACTACATTTGAGTATTCATGTGGAGAAATTGAGCCAAGAGTACAAAATCCCACTTGTACACTCTCTTGTTTATGTGTTTTTCCACTTAACCCTTGACTGAGTCGATCATCATCCCTTGTGTCTCGGTGGAAAGAAACCATATTGTTAAGAAAAACACTGGATTTCTCTCACATTTCCCTTTCTGCTAACTTAAGCAAATTAGAAAAGCTGTCCTATGGGAGAGATGCACATTTTTATGCAATCTAGTTTATCCATCTGGGGCTCGGATTTTTCTATTACACTAAAATTGTTTCATCTTTAGTTGATATGCTACTCTAAATAATTATAGAGTGAAGAATTCAACCTGACTTTAAAATTTTTTCTTACCCCATTCCTATCAAGATCTGCCTCCACAAACTTTTTCTCTGCAAGGAGAACTGTACTCAGAGGAACATCAGGATATCTCCTGGCAATTTCCTGCAAGATGCAAGCAAAACTTCAACTTTAGAGACGCATTTTCAAGAAATGAGGCAGAAATGTGGCCAATTTTTAACCTTTCTCAACAAATTTGATAGATATTTGCCTCTAAATCAATTAATGCTAATTCAGATTTTTTGATGAGGTACAAGGGTGGCATGATTTTTTTTTTAAATTTTAACAGAGGCATCCCCAGTAACATCTAGTTGCTTATTTTGTCATGAACTTAAATTCTTGTCTTCTCAGAAAGGCTTACTTTTAACAAGTTAATGGTTGTCAATTGTACTTTGTAGTGATACTCCAATATCATCTAATAGCCAGTCTCAATTAGCCTTCCAGCTATATTGCAATATTAACTGTTGCATTTGTCAAAAAATAACCCAATTTCTTAATTTTCAAGATGATTTTGAACACAGTCTAGCTCTTCTTTTTTAATATAACCTTTACCTGGTATAACTTTTCTGGGTCATCAAATGGGTTGTCTATATTCTCTTTATTGCTTTCATCGGGTGTTCTCTCTCCTGCACCTTTAGTTCCTTTATCTCTTTTTCTTTGAGCTGGTCTCTTAGGTTTTTTTACCTCTGATTGACGTCGTTTTTTGGTTTCCTACAAAAAAACAAAATTTGTGGGAAGCATTTTAAATACATCCCTGTTTAACAAAATACATAAGAGTAGATAGCAGAAAACGGAAGTCTCTCACTTGAATCTATGTAAATTGGTAAAACTCCTATTTATCAAGAGTTGAGAATCTGTTTACTTCAGATTAATTTTAAGTGTACATGCATGTATATTGTTAAATTTCTTTATTATGAAAAAAAAAAGAGATGGCACAGGGCGAGACTTACCTTATTCTTCTCAGCCAGCTTAAAAAAAAAGAAAAAAAAAAAAGAAATCAATAATTTTTATATCTAATTATAGCTAAACAGCGTCTTAAGGGAGAAAAATACTCCAAGGTAAGTAATAGTTAGGACTATGTGTTCGAATGTGTAATTTAAACAGAGGTCGTCTAACTGTAAACAGTTCATAATTTTAACTGTTGTGCACGCGGGAGGAATTGTTTGTTCGGTTAAACACCTGCTTTTAAATTCTACAATTATTGGAAACTGCTTCAAACCTAACAAACAGAAACAATTTAAATATCATCACGTGTTACTATGGATCGTTAAAAATGAATGTTTATCGTCATAATCGAGCGCTTCATTATCAGATATTTATGCTCACTTGCTTTTCCAATTCCTCCATTTTTTTGTTCATATCGTAAATGTTTCCTTTAAGTGTGTTACATTCTCTCTCCTTTTCGTGAAGTTTCGCTTTAAGTTCCTCTCTTTCCTTCAAACCCGTCACAAAATCGTGTGTTGTTTGATCCCTTTGCAGGGCTAGCTCGTTGGTTTCTTCGGACATTTTGGCAGACAAATTATCGATAAATGAAATTGTTAATCTGATAAAATGCAGTGCGAGGACAAACTCAGTCGAGACGAACTTTGCTGACAAGTGTTAAGCCCAACATATCTGTGTTTCTGGCGTGTGCTGTTTACCACGTTCAGTTTGGCTTCGTATATATGCAAACAGATATTTGTTTGTCGTGTTGCTAGAACACGAATTCCTTCACGCCCCGCTGCTCCGCGTGGTGCATATGAGAACTCGACAATCAGCATGAATCAGTGAAATAGCAACAAAAATACAATCATAAATTTCCATTGATCAAGAAATACTTTCTTTCGCGACCAGTGTTACTTGCGAGCGTAACAACTAATTAGCTAAATGTTGTAATAACAATAATAATAATAAATAATAATAAAAGATTTAAACCGCGCCAGTATCCTACTGTTCAAAGGCGCCTACAGAAAACTGTAACATTAACACTTAAGAAAGCTAATATTAATTATAAAAGGCTTTTCTAAAAAGAAAAGTTTTTAATCTACTTTTAAAAACAGACACAGACTGAGCATTTCTAATTTCACTTGGCAAAGTATTCCATAATGAGAGTGCTGCTACAAAGAAGGATGTTGCGCCATATGTTTTCAGGTTATAGGATGGAGAAACCAGAAGGTGCTTGGATGATGAGCGTAGATGACGCGATGGGGTGTAAGATGTAAGCAAATCACAAATGTACGACGGTGCCAAGTTGTTAAGTGCCTTGTAGGTTATAAGTAAAATCTTAAAAATAATACGTTGTAACCGAAACACCTGATTCCAATGGACAGTTACCTAGACATGTCCTCCGCACTACCCCCTCCACCCATCTCGTTCTTTTTCTATTTCTGAGGTATTCTGAGCCCGCAAGTAAACAGAGTATAGAGGCGCATTTGAACTAATATTTGTGTCATGTAAATCATCGCGTTTTGTAGCCAAAATGGAGGAGGACGACAAACCTCTAAAGAGCTTACTGTAAATGGAAAGTTCTGTTGAAGTGGCGGGCAGTTGACAACATGGATTTCGACACACCGACATTGATTTATGATGAAGAGGAGTATGGCCGAACGCCACCAAATCAAAAAGCCATATTTATCTACGAATGGCTTAGAAATCTGGAAGATAACATTACAACTGTCAAGAAGGTGAGGCAGCAATAACACTTATCAAATTCAGCTGTTTTTTATTGTTTTATTCTTTAGGAGATCTGTGCCGTGAACACGCACGTGAAATGCGAAACCCTCTTAGTTTTTACAACGATATTTCTGAGCAACGTTACCGACGGCAACTGATCCTTGTTTTTAAGAATTGAAAGGCCAGTTTGCCACTGTCGAGCGCGACCAGTATGATTCAGTAACTCTTGTACAAAAAGAACATGAGATGATAATGATAGATAATAACGACGTGAAACCTTTGTAGAGCTACTAGTCGTCTGTTCAGTTTTAAATCAAAGTCGGCTCTGTGTTTGTGGCAAGTTGCTCTAGTGGCATATTCCAGTGATTTGTTAGTGAATTGGGAAATAAAGCCACTCACTGTGTATTTACAGTGAACTGTAGCAGTGCTTTATTAATAATTTTCAGGTCCACCCAAATAATCAAATTGAATGATCAAAGTATTAATCTTTATCAAAATTCTTGGTTTTGGGTATTGGTTTTTTACAGACAGAGGTAAAAAGTTGTCAACAGAAGCTTGAGGAACAACTCTCTAAACATTTGACTATAGTCCTTGGACCTCCAACAAGACAACTGCTCTCCAGATGCTTTGCACTGTTATACAGTATTGGTAACACCACAACACTGTATGAGACAGTCAACAAGTGTAGTGACACAGTCAAGTACAAGGATGATTCACAGTCCTACCTTCCCATCAAACTGTAAGTTTAAACACGAAGGCGCGCTATATAAGGAAGTCTTCCCTGGGAACACCTAGGCTCATTTGTCACTCACTGTTGACGTGTGCGGGTCAAATTTAAATGCTGGTAGACGAACAAAAGGAGCTAATGAGATATCTATTGTTTACTTCTACCAGCATGGTGGCATGAAGCAACGTGCGAACCACCTACTTCGATCTCAAATTTACCGTTACAAACAAAGACAGTTTCCATTGGAGAAAGGAAATACAAATTTCAAAAATTCTTGTATTGTGATGAAGACATAAAACAATTTTGAGGAATGCGCCTGCTGTTCACTGCTCTGGAGTAGCTGTAGCTCAAGCTGACTTGGCTATAAGAGTTCTACATCACACGACAGTTGATTGACAAATGGTCCAGTGGGACCTAAGGCTCCTTTTATAGTGCGCCTTAGTGTTTAAAACATTTAACCCTTAACTCTTAAACTCCCAGAAGGGATTAACATGTAACTTCTCTCTATAATATCCATGCATTATCTAGTTAACAGGTAGTGAGAATACTCAAATTTATCAGGTAGAAGTTGTTTCCTTGATTGAACACCAAATTCTCATAACCAACGTACAAGGAAATGTGTAGCAGCTAGAGGAGAGAATTGACAATCAGATCTCAGGAGTTAAAGGTAAAGAGTGCTAGGCATCTAAAATTACCTTACAATGTCGTCCACATTAACGTCATGAGTATAAAAGGAATGACCAGAAACTTATTAGAAGCTCTTGATCATAGCTAGTACGAACCTTAGAAAATGTGGCAGTGACAACATAGCTTTTGTATAATAGTTATCATAGGATAAGTGTTCGTTTGTTTTGTATAATAGTTATCACAGGATAAGTGTTGGTTGTTGAAACAACTCCACCTATCCTGGTTAATGATAGGATTATTTTAATGTATGCTGCTATATAAGAGAGGTTAGTGTTGTTTTTATAATGATGCTTGCATTGAGTAAAATGTTTTGAATTTGTTGTCAGGTCTGCAGTAACATGCATTGGTGCCATTTACGAGAAGCTGGGACGAATGGTAATCTGAATTCATCACAACTTTTTCAGCTGTCTCAATATGTTTAAAAATTATTTGTGAAGGAACTCTTTGATTATTATTGTGGGGAGAAGAAACCATTCTTATGTGCAGACCAATATATTCAATGATTTCTACCAGAAAAAAACATATTACCAGTAATTCAGGGTGATTTTTATTTTTCCTAATTTTTTTCAGGCTGGTGGATCTTATCAGGAAACTGTGCAGACTCTTATTAAAGCCATGAAAAATGCAGAGGTATTTAAGAATTCCTCTTTGTTCCACTGTAGCAATTTGTTGTTTATTTTTATGGTTTATTTTGCATGATTTACCTGGCAGTCTCAAGGACGCTGTGAAATCATGCTGAGTCTGCAGCGAGTTTTGAGTGGTCTCGGTAGCAATGGAGCAGTATTACACAGAGATATTTACAAAGCTGTCAAAGGAGCTTTAACAGACAGAAGCATGTCAGTCAGATGTGCAGCAGCAAAGGTATTGTACTAATTATCAAATTAAGTAAAAAATGATGCTCAGAGGAAGTCTGCAATTTAAATAATTAAATTGCTGTTGAGAAAAATCTTTAAAAGGACTGTTGTCTTTTAGTTTTAGATATGAAGTTTTGATTACCTGAGCAAGGTCATTGTCGGAAAGTTTGATTTTTTTTCACACTGGTCTTTAGGTGAATTGCATGACAGTGATGTAAATATAACGTTACCTGATCAGTGTGTCAGTTACGGGGCAATCTTGTCCACTAGATGGCCAAGAGGAACTTGCCAGTGAGACCAATTTGGAAAAATTACAAAATAATTGACAAAAATGTATGGAAAATAGGATGAGGGAAATTGTAAAAAATACCAAACATTTTATTTAAAACCACATCACCTCAATCAGTATTTGTAATAAGTTTGTGGGATCTCAGTGAAAATTACTGAAAAACTGTGAAAATCCAAGTCCCAGAGATTTGTCACATTGGAGCACAATAACCTGCACAAAATTTCTTTACATTTCAGTGCGCCCTGGAGTTAATGAAGCATGCCAACTTCCTGTACACCTCTGAACTAGAGGGTGTAATATCAACATGTTTCAAAGCCTTGGAGGGTTCTAATTATGATGTACGAGTCTGTGTGGCTCAACTGATTGGCTCATTAATGGCCATGACACAACAGACTCCTTCTGTGACAGCAGCAGCAGGCAAGAACAGGAAGACTTGCAGTCTGGAAGAAGTGTTTGCCTACATGTCTGGAGGATTCCTGCGGGGAGGAATTGGATTTTTGAAAGGGAGTGGGGGAGAATTGTTGAAGAGTATTGCTCCACGAGAAGTCAGAGTGGGAGTTACTCAGGTGTGTAATTATAGTCAAAAGTTTATCAAGTTTGAAAAATTATATTGTAGGAGCTTTGTCAACAACAACACTACTCACAACACTTTTATTTAAGGAAGAACTATTGGAGAATTTGCTTACCGCAATTAAGCTTGGCTTATTAAGTCACAGAAATTTTGGGTTTTTATAATTATAATTGTCTTACAAATTGCATCTAAATTGAAGGATTCAAGATTGAAGTAATTTCAGATATAAGAACACTAAAAAGGCAAATACAAATCGAGAGGGGAAAAAGATACTTGAGGACAAAGATTAGAAGAGATTTGAAAATTCTAGAGTGTCCCAAATATTAATATTTGTTTAGAAGATTCTTGATTTCTTGATGTGAAAGTGGCAATGATGGGCCATGATTTGAGGGGTAATGACTTTGTTGTTTTGGCCCAAGTTGGTTTCTTAATTCTGAGGTGAATGTGATTTTTGGAAATTAATGCACTCTGACTAATTTGATTTTCAGGCCTATGTGATATTTTTCACTGAGATGGGAGGCCTGTGGGTGCAGAGGAACATCAGCTTGATCTTGAAAAATGTTCTCGAGCTTCTTTCCAGTCCTAAAGCCACACAAACTCATGTAGATGCAGTCTATTCCAGGCGTTGTATTTCCTTTATTTTGCGGGCTGTGCTTGGACGGCATCTTGGTGAACCAGCCCAGTTAGATGCAGCAAAAGAACTGTGCAGCTTAATAACGAAACAAATGAATATGGTGAATGATGCTGTGCATAGTGCATCAGACGGCAGCAGCTCAGCCAGTGTTATTCAGAATACGGATGATGTGATCAGCACACAACATGTCCTTGTGTGTGCTCTGCAAGAACTGGGATGCTTAGTTCAAGGGCTCAGTACCACAGCCATGTCTCTCATACAGGAGAACCTCTTGGATCATGTTCTGTCTGTGTTGCTGCACCCAGCTCCTGCTGCTCAACTGCTTGCCGCCTGGTGTCTGAGGTGCATCACAGTTGCTGTTCCATCACAGGCGACACCCCTCATTGACCGGTGTATCAATCGTATCAGTTCCCTCAAGTCATCTGGGGAAGCAGTCGGAGGGTATGCACACACTTTGGCCGCTCTTGTTGGAGGAATTCATAAGTGTCCTCTGGGCATCCCTCATGCCAAAGGAAAGGTACAGTGACTGTCACACTTTCTAATAAGAAAAATTCTCACTATGTAACATTCACATTTGATATGAATTTTTTGGAAATGACATCACAGTCTCTCCATCATTTTGTTGATATCTCACAACTGTCTTATTCTTTTCCAGGTTGTATTTAACATAGCAGATGAGCTTCTAAAAACTGCTAATCAGAATCCAAGACTTGCTCTTCACAAAGCTAAAGCTGGATGGATCTTGTTGGGCGCATTGATGACCTTAGGTAAGAATTAAGTCTGTTAAAGGAATAGTGCAGTTTTCATTTGATCGTCAAAAGTGATCTAGGGCAGCTGTATTCACCTCTCACAACATAATGCGCTGCCAACTTGAATTAATCACATAGTTGTTTCCGTAGACTTAATTTGTTTTTGTATTTACCATCTATTTATTTATCTGTAGTTTTTACTGTGTGTATTTTCCTCTTCTTTTACTGATTATCCTGGCCTGCCTCGATTAGCAATGCTATCTGCGGAGCCAGGGGAACAAGGATTTATTGTCAAATAACAAATAAAAAATACTGTCAGTACTGGTTTTGTTTTGCTTTTCTCTGTGATTTGTCCTGAAAACTTGCACCAATGGATAATGATAAATTATTACTTGTTATTGTATCTGGTAGGCCCATCAGTTGTCAAACATCATTTGCCACAGATGCTTGCTCTGTGGACAAGTGCTTTTCCTAAGACAGTGAAGGAATTTGATCAAGAGAAGAACAGAGGTGATGCATACACTTGGCATGTCACTCTGGAATGCCGTGCAGGAGCCCTGTGTTGTAAGTATTAACAGGAAATTTATTTCTCACAACTAAGTTAACATTGGAAAGTTAAAGTACAGCTTGATCTCCAAAAGGCAAACTTTGTTTTCAAGCTCTGTGACCCAGTGTCCAGCACATTAGACAACCATATCTTCAGGATAATGTGTTCAATTTTGTCAGAATCATTTACTTTGCTTTTGTTGTTGTTGTACAGCAATGGCAAGTTTTTGTGCCAATTGCTCTGCACTTCTAAGTGATGATCTCACTAGACGCCTGTTGGCCACTACAGATGCATGTTTAGCAATGCTTCCAAGGTTAGTTCTATTTCTAATCTACAGTGAACTTGTGAGTTGAGTTGCATTTCTTAGGCTACTCCATGTATGGATATCGTGCTTTAATTTGTACAAATTTAATTGGCTCAGTTCACCATCGAAACACTTCACTAATAGCACCATAAATAATTATGGTAATAGAAGAGGGCAGTTATCATCTTAGTATCAATAAGGTCACCATGGCAACAGAGTCACAACCCTTAAAAAGCTCATTTCAACCCCCACACCTCACTGGCAAAGCCACCAAACATTGGTTTGGTTTTAATCTTCCCTAAATTACCTTTAACTTCTTTATCAATATTTTTTCTTTCTCTGGATCAGCTTACCTCAGATCATCAAGCAGCATGGAAATCACTTAAAAGCAAGTGCTGCCATTGTGCGACTGAGAATGTACTCAGTGCTGACCCTTCTCCCACCAAAATCCTATGAAGGTATTAAACATGTACTTCAAGTTTACAGTACCTATTTCATATTTCTCAGATTTTTTTATTAAGGTGCACGATTTGAACAATATCATTAATTTTATGAGCCAGGATCCATCTTTATCATGTATGTGATTTGTTTTTATTGTTGAAGTGTGACTGATGGTGTTGTTTGTGAGTATGAGTGTCGTAGTGAATGATGTGGGAGGTAAAATTCTGTTCCCTTTATTTGTTTTCATCATGGTCCCCATGCTCTAAATGTTAAGTAATAGCTAAGCTGTGAATTATGTACTTCAGAGAGGTGTTTACTCTCTAAAATGTTTGATTTCAATCTTGTAGGAAGTTTCCATTCTTTGTTTCGTAGCTTGGTTGCAGAGTTTACTTTGGCAGAAAATCCTGCTATGACAACTACATCTCTGTTAAAAACTGTGTGCCATAAAGATGATTCCATTCTTCTTGGGTCGTGGCTTCAAGAAACAGACCACAAGTTTGTTGAGGAGCAGGTTTGTAACACAACTTTGTTTCGAGACTAATTCTTTCCGAGGACTGTAAGTTGTACATTTTTATGTAACAAAACAAAACAAAACAGTGCAATTAGTCAGGTTTATCTTCCCATTTCATGTTATAACAGCAAAATGAGTTTTGCAGAAAAGAATAAAATTTGGTCATGGACAGACATAATCACAGGGTCAAGATGTTCAAAAATGCCTGAAGCAGATTGTGCTACTGCTGGAGTTAAATTAAAGTATTTCTTTAGACCACTTCCCCCTGGGCAGTTTGGGAGAGTCCCCAAGATATAATTTTGAATTAAAATAAATATGTTGTCATAGAGTAACGATAGTTTCAATAATCTTTCAGCTACAAACCAACAGTGCATCAGGGTCAGGATCTTTAGAGCATGATCCCTCTTGTATATTTGAACGCTGTCCAGAGGTAAGTGGACTTTAAGCACGGCTTCCTTTTAAACATCCAACTGCAGCTATCCTTCACTCACAAAATGCTTCAAATAAAGCTAATTTTAGCACTAGGTGCTTGTGTAAACCATGTGTAACCAGGTGCACATCTGTAAACCATGTACAGTGTAATAGCCAAACTTACCACCAAGTTCTCTGTGGCTCTTTGGTAGAAAATGGGATTGAAAATCTGTTGTCTTGGGATTAATTTTTGTTCCTTATGAATGACACAGATTTTTTCTTTGTCTCATGCGCATTACAAAATGAATAACTCCAGAATGTATTTTTATTTGATGACCAAGCTCAAAATTTATATCCTTTCTTTTTCAATCTGATTTTTTTTTTTTTACTATTTTAGGGAGAAGACATCCCTGGTCCATTACCTTTGGGTGTGGCTGTCATTGATGAATCTATTAAACTGTTTGGAACTGTGTTTCCATTTGTGGCTCAAAAGCATCGCAGTCAGTTATTATCTCATTTTGCTGAGTGTATTCGTCAAGCAAAGTCCTCGAGACAACAAGCAATACAAACAAATGTTTTGACAGCATTTTTGTTTTCTTTAAAGGTAAGTTGGGCACCTCAAGAGATTTAACTATTTTTTGATTTTTCAGTGTGAATCTGGTATTTTCCTTTTCTTTTGACTTAAAATTCAGGTGTGTAACAAACGTACCTCAGTGGAGACAAAAGTCTTTCTCCCTTGATTCTATGGTTGACTTGTTTCTTGACTAAACAAAAGTCTGAAGAAATCCTAGGGATGCCTAATGAGACTAGAGTTGTGCAAGTTCTTGCGCATTTTATTCTTTTCTAACAATAGGGTATTGCTGAAGCAAAAACTGGTCTGGGTGATGAAGATGTAAGGACCACAGCTGTTAATTTAGTTTTGGTGAGTAAAGTGTCCATCCGTTAAAAGTACAAGGTTGCTTTAGTTACAGTGCAGCTAGCACACTGTCACATTGTTCTGACTCCCTCTGTAACTCTTTCAAAAGTCTCTCATCTTTGCAGTCCTTCAGTTGAAAAGCATGGATTGTGATAGTAATTCTGCTTTTAATTTAGATATCCATATAGAGTATTTGATTTACTTAGTTTTACCTATTTATTGTCTGTTTACCTCAACAGAATGCAATAACAAATTCAGACCCTATTGTTCGCTGTGCTGCAGGAGAAGCCCTGGGACGCATTGCACAAGCTGTTGGAAGCCCTGTTCTCACATCAAACGTTACTCAGAAGATCTTCGACCAATTCAAGGCTGCAAGGGATGCAGTGTCTAGAACAGGCTACTCTGTTGCCTTGGGCTGTATCCATCGTTATGTCGGTGGAATGGCTTCAGGACATCATCTTAACAGCAGCGTCAGTATACTTCTGGCTTTAGCCAATGATAATTCATCATCCTTGGTTCAGGTATGAGCAATGTAATTCAATATGTTTGACAAGTGAGATATGCAGTGGTCTAACATCTGGGCGATGGATTCCAGGTAAAGGGATCAGGGTTTAGGTACAGGACTGGTCATTGCGTTGTATTGTTGGGCAAGACAGTTTACTCTCACAGCTAGTCCACCCAGAAGTATATTAGATAGGAACCAA